GGACTTAAGAACAGTTACAAATGAGAGGAGGCCAGTTGCCCCATCTAGATTCATTTGGCAGGTAGTAGTTGGGTGGAGGAGTGGAATCCTACTCCGTTGGGCCCCTGAGCAAGGCCCTTCACCCCAGCTGCTCCAGGGGCGCCGTATAAATGGCTGACCCTGCGCTCTGACCCCCAGCTTCTCTCCCTGTCTGTGTGTCTCATGGAGAGCAAGCTGGGGTCTGCGAAAAAAGACAAATTCCTAATGCAAGAAATTATATATGGCTTCTTATCTCTCTCCAAGGATCTTGTTTAACCATTTGTTGAAGGAAGCCAGGGTTTCGGTGCGGAAACCCAGCCATCCTTATCGGAATCGTTCTCACGTTTAAACGCGCTTCCACGTAGTTCGCGCCCGATGCCCCCTGGTTTGCGCCCCACTGTTCGTTTCGAAGAAATCGGCCGGGCCGACGGGATTTTAAACACTCGGATCGGGCGTGCCCCCGGGTCTTCTCCGCTCAGGACCGAAGAGGTTCAGTTCCTCCAGCCGGTCAAACTGGGGCTGCAGCCGGAGCCTCGCAGCCCAGGGAAATGTCCGGCGTGGCGGCAGGCGTGATGGAGTTCGTGTCGCCCGGAACTGCTGATCTCTTTCGCTGCGGCTTTTGCAGACATCCAACTGCAAGACCACAAAGCATTGAGCTCGCGCTTCTTTTTGATTGGGCAAGGCGGAGAACTTCAGCAGTTGCCCCACTCCGCGCCACTTTTCATTTTCTGATGTGTCTGTTATCGCTGTCCTCACAGGGCCAGTGTTTGTTTGACCAGGGATTGTACCTGGACGCCCTGGAGTCTTTCGCCAAGGCTTCTGAGCTGATACCGGACAACAGGTCTTATCACATGAGGAGGTCAGTATGCCTTACAGGACAGGCTTAGGAATCCAGAGACTGAACTGATGCAAGGATCGGGTAAGGAGGTGGGCACAACTCCTAGTGTTCATGTGGAAAAAAACACCAAAACATCTATTTATTCACTGATTTTGATTTATAAGTCGAAAGGTATACATTTGTTCCCTGCCCTCCTCTTTTTAGATGGTATCGGCTGTAATTTGGACGCGGTATTGCGTAAAAGTGCAGAAAGGCTTTGATGAACAGATGAATTCAATTCAATTCAACTTTATTGTCATTAAACTTACACAGGTGCATAGTATAATGAAAAGTGTTTCTCACTAGTCACTCAGGTGCAGTATATAAATAGGACAGAAGATAAGACAAGAGACAGTTCCACAATAGCAATAACAGTAACGTGTGATAACATAAATAACATGTAATCAAGTAATCAAAACTGTGCAAAATTCTGCAACAGAGAAAATATAACGGGACAAAAACAGTGCAAGGTAATTCTTGGAACAGTGCAAAAATAGTATGGTTAAAAAAAGTATGGTTAATTAATAAATATTCAATATTATTATGCCTGTTACAGTTTTACTGGGCTATCGAGGGGACAGTACAATTTCGCCTTACATGTGTGTGTAGTGGTGTAGGAGTACAGTCGTTGTGGGTACAGGAAGACATTAGGAGAGATCATAATATGGTGGGAGGGACCTGACAGCTCTGGGGAAGAAGCTATTTTGGAGTCTAGTTGTGTGCGACTGGAGTGAACGGAACCTTCTGCCAGATGGTAGGGGACCAAACAAGTTATGACTGGGGTCAGACATAATTTTGGTGGCTTTTTTTAAGCCAACGAGTTTGGTTGTATCTGCCTCTGAAGGAAGATGGGAACCTGCAAAGCACTCTGGGATGTGGCGGTCAGGCAGGATGCCTCGGGAAATTCAATTCTGTTGTTGTTGTTTTTTTCAATGGGGAAAAACAACCCCGAAAACGTCAGGACACCTCTGGGGGGTCACATTAAGATGTCTCTTACCCCGATACCCGGTCCAGGCCTGGTGGCCCTCTGGGTTTTGATCCTGCGGCCCACGGCGTGCTCACGGCGCGTTCCTTGTCTTGCAGTCTGGCCTGCCTGGCGGCTCTGGGCCAGCACGGAGACTGCCTGCGACTGGCGAGCAGCTGGCTGGAGACGGATGCCAGCAACCCCGACCTCTTCGTCCTGAGGGCCAGACTGCACAGGCACTTCAGCCAGGTCGGCGACCCCTCCCCCCCCCGCCTTACGGCAGTGGCCTCCACAGTCATTCCGAGGTGCTGAGCTCTGCCTCTTTCTCCCAGGCGACCCTGTGCTACCGCGACGTCAAGGCCGCCCTGGCGGTGGCGCCGGAGTTCCAGGAGGCCCGGCGCCTGCTGTCGGAGCTGCGGGGGGTGGCGGAGGGGGCCCGGGAGCGTGCCGTGTCCCGGGCAGTGGGGGGGCAGCTCCGGGAGGCCCTGCAGAAGATCAACACAGCCGTGGAGCACGACCCAGAGCAGAGCCACTACTACCTCTTCAGGTAGGAGAGCCCCACCCGTTTCCTTCCACTGCCCATATGATAATAATAATAATTCGAATAATAATTCCTTACACTTATGATATAAAGCGCTCAAAGTGCTTTACAGGTAATGGGAAATCCCACTTGCGCCACCAATGAGTAACCCCCCCCACCCCTACCTGGATGATGCGACGGCAGCCAGTACACTCCCCACACACCAGCTCTCAGTGGGGAGCAGAGTGATGGAGCCAGTTCAGAGATGGGGATTATTAGGAGGCCATGACTGGGGAAAGACCAGGGGGGAAATTTGGCCAGGACGCCACCCCTACTCATTTCGAGAAACGCCCTGGGATTTTTAATGACCACAGAGAGTCAGCACCTCGGTTTTACGTCTCCTTCGAAGGACGGCGCCTTTTTTACAGTATAGTGTCCCCGTCACCATGCTGGGAGTCACACAGACCGCAGGGTGAGCGCCCCCTACTGGCCCCACTCACACCTCTTCTAGCAGCAACCTCAGTTTTTCCCAGGAGGTCTCCCATCCAGGTACTGGCCAGGCTCCCGCCTGCTGAGCTCCAGCGGGGCCGCTGGCGGGTGAGCCACAGGGCGATCTGGCTGCCGTGATAAAGCGACTCACCGCTGCCCCGGTGTCTGCGCGTCAGGAAGGGCTGCAGTCTCTCCCGGGTTCTGTAGGCCGCTGTGGTGTCTGTGCCAGGGCGACGCTGCACCGGAGACTACGGGACTTCAACGCCGCCATCGACGACCTGATCGAGGTGCTGGGGCGCGGCGGGGGGGAGCAGGCCGAGGCCCGCAGGCAGCTGGCGCTGACCTACAACGACTTCGCCGTCCACTGCTTCTCCCGGCGCTTCTACCAGGAGGCCGAGCTGCTGCTGAGCAAGGCCATCGAGGAGGAGAAACGGGAGAAGGGCCTGTACATCAACCGAGGGGGTAAGGGAGGAAGGAAGCCGGCGGAGGAGTAGAGGAGCTCGTTGCCGGACCAAATTCCCCTGACTGCGATCCCTAAACGACACACTGAAATATTTATACGTGATATTAATATATTTGAAGGGAAACTGCAGTCCCAAATTCCCAAATTCTCCGACGGGTTATTAAATCTCTGTAACAAAATAAATTCATTGCCGGTATGGAGAGAATCGACACATTTCGAATCGCGCGCTCACACACTCGGGAACTTTGTGTTGTAGTGGCAATGCGATGTGGCCCTTCCGGCTCGCTAGTCCCTGTGATGTACGAGCAAATAAGTACAGGTTGTGCAGCAGACATTTCCGTGCAGAACTGTCCCAACCTGATCTGCATGCAGAGTTGATGAGTACGTTCCATTTATCGACAAAACTGCCTTGAAGTCTAGAGCAATTTTTGCATTGGATTATGGATTATGTATTCACTAGCCTGCTTGTTCACAGTGCAATAGGGCAGCGACACATCACCGGCTGTGTTGCCTCGTTCTGAATCGCACAATATGGCGCTGCACACACCTGGAAATTGAGTCTGTTTTGTGATGTAAATTGCAGGTTTTATGAGTTACTGTGTCCCTTTGACTTGACTGTGGTTTGAAAGGCCCTCAGCAATGCCGATTCTGTCTGAGCCCCGAAATATAAAAAGAGCGCTGCTAAACTAGAATGATAATTGTATGCGAGGGGTCTGCTTGGGGGCGATTTCAAGAGCGTGAGATCGATCTGCAGCCATATCACCCTGCAACTCACAACTGGCAGCCCCACTGAAGCTAAGCAGGTGTGAGCCTGGTCAGGACCTGGATGGGAGACCTCCTGGGAAAAACTAAGGTTGCTGCTGGAAGAGGTGTTAGTGGGGCCAGCAGGGGGCGCTCACCCTGCGGTCCATGTGGGT